GGCTACATCAGAGTGTGGAGTCCCTGTGTTCCTGGCCCCTGTCACCTGTTTGTCCCTAGGAGGTGGCCTGTGGCCTGGGTGCCAGTTGGGGACACAGGCTGGGCCCTGTCTGGACTGGACCAGCCACTTGTCCTCTCTGGGCCTCTGTCATCTATCCTCCTGAAAATGGGCTTGTATCCCCCTGACATACAGAATTGCATGAGGACCCCACAGCGTGTCCCACTTTCCATGTGCCCAGGAGCCCGAGGTCAGGACCAGGGCAGCACCCATGCCTGCCACTCCGTGTGGGTGCAACGTGTCCCAGGGGAACACGACAGGACACAGTCACGTGGGGCTCAGGTGCCAGGACCTTGGTGGCAGTTTCTGGCTTTGACCACTCCTTTGGGCAGTGGTACCTGTGTGAAGTGGGGCTATATGTGGCACAGGATAGGCCTGGGGTAGTTTGAGAGCTGAGATGCCTTGCTGGGCATCCAGGCAGAGGAGGAGGTGGACACCTGGGCCACAGGGCTAGAGAAGCCCAGGCCCCTCAGGTGGCATTCCTGGGTCCACCTCCCTCCCAAGGGCCATCTGGCGCCAGTTAAGAAGGTGCAGAGTCAGATTAGAGAAGCCTAGAGCTGGATTTCCAGAGAAACCGATGTCGTTAAGAAGCCTCACTTCTTCCTAGGATGACTGGCCTCACCCTGGGTTCACCCGCCACCCCTTGGCAACAGTCCCCAGGCAGCCCCCTCAGGGCTCCAGAGAGAAACCTCACCCTGGGAGAGCCTGGGGTGGGGGCCGCAGCGAGGAGGCAGAGCCCTGGGCCCCCAGTGCAGGCTGGAGCTGCCCCTGGGGAGGCTGGCACGGGACAGGCAGGACCAAAGGGTGGGGACACAGGGTGACCCCATCACATGGTGAGGGCAGCTCCGCCAGTCCCATCCAAGGGGATCCGAGGGGGCTACTTGGATCCTGCTGAGGCCATGTCCCCCGATGAAGCCCCTGCTGTCCCCCCACCCCCTCCCACAGGGCCCTCTGATGCCCATGGCACCCCCAGCAGGTGTGGCTCCCAGGGAATGGTCCTTGGCCACGGGAGGCTGTCTGAGCCCCGGGGATGCCTCTAAGGACAGTGGCTCTCCAGGGGTCCGTCTCCAGGGAGACGGGGGCGGGGACACCGAGTGCAGCCTGGGTGCCCACGGCCGTCCCCCCACAGGAACCAGGACCACCTGAGCCATGGGGCTGTCCCGGAAGGAGCAGGTCTTCTTGGCCATACTGGGGGCCTCGGGGGTCTCGGGCCTCACTGCACTCATTCTCCTCCTGGTGGAGGCCACCAGCGTGCTCCTGCCCACGGACATCAAGGTGCGTCCCCGCCGGCAGGGGAGGCCGGGCGCGGTCCACAGGTATTGCCTCCCACTTATCCCACTGTCTCCCCAGTTTGGCATCGTGTTTGATGCGGGCTCCTCCCACACGTCCCTCTTCCTGTATCAGTGGCCGGCGGACAAGGAGAATGGCACTGGTGTGGTCAGCCAGGCCCTGGCCTGCCAGGTGGAAGGTTAGTGGGCAGTTCTGCAGCCCGGTGCTGGGATCTGCCTGTTGCTGCCTGGCTGGGATTTCCCAGATGCACGGAAAGGGTCTGGAGAGGTTCAGTGACGGCCGAGGTCCCAGTGAGCAGTCAGATTCTCATGGCCTGGCCTGGGTCTGCCCAGCGTCTGCTGCGTTCGGCCCTGACCCTCTCTGGCCCCTGGTGCTCCCCACCCTGGCACCATGTGGTGCTGGCGGCCGAAGCTGGTAGCCACAGGGGTCCTGCACTCCAGGATCTTGAGAGGGGAAAACAGGAGGCCCCAAATTTGTTTCCTGTGGGCTCTGGTAACAAATTACCCCAAGTTGGGGACTTAAAACAGTAGCACCTTATTTCTCAGCATTCTAGAGGTCTGAAAACAAGGTCTGGAAAGGGCCGCACCCCTCCAGAGGCTCCGGGTTAGGGTCCTTCCTGCTTCCTCTAGCCTGAGCGCTCCACACAGCCCTTGGCTGGTGGCCACACCGGGGGTCAGGAGGTGGCCACATCTTTGGGAGCTGCCTTTCAGCCCAGCCAGCCTGCGGGGTCTGGAGCTCTGTCCCCGGCTGCTGTTCCAGGGCCTGGAATCTCCTCCTACACTTCTGACCCTGCACAGGCTGGTGAAAGCCTGCGGGGCTGCCTGGAGGAGGCGCTGGTGCTGATCCCAGAGGCCCAGCATCGGAAAACACCCATGTTCCTGGGGGCCACGGCTGGCATGAGGTTGCTCAGGTGAGGCGGGCATGGCCTTGGCACCCACAGGGCATGGCTGCAGAAGCCATGGTCTCAACCAGCGTGGCAGGCAGGGTGGGGCCGGGCCCAGGCTTCCAGCCAGCTCCAGTCCCTGGTCCTCTGTGCCCAGGCAGAAGAACAGCTCTCAGGCCCGGGACATCTTCGCAGCAGTCACCCAGGTCCTGGGCCGGTCTCCCGTGGACTTTTGGGGTGCTGAGCTCCTGGCGGGGCAGGATGAAGGTGCCTTTGGTTGGATCACTGTCAACTACGGCTTGGGGACGCTGGTCAAGGTGCGACAGGCAGCCCGAGGGCGGGGGCTGGTCTGTGAGGGGCCAGTGTCTGGGGCTGGCTGACCAGGGCGGGGTCCGGGTGGCTGCTCCGAGCTAAGTGGCCCCTTCTGTGCCCAGTACTCCTTCACTGGAGAATGGATCCAGCCTCCGGAGGAGACGCTGGTGGGCGCCCTGGACATGGGGGGGGCCTCCACCCAGATCACCTTCGTGCCTGGGGGCCCTATCTTGGACAAGAGCACCCAGGCCGATTTTCGCCTCTACGGCTCCAACTACAGCGTCTACACTCACAGCTACCTCTGCTTCGGGCGGGACCAGATGCTGAGCAGGCTCCTTGTGGGTCTGGTGCAGGTCAGCGGGCCCTGGGGAGGGTGCACGGGGCTGTGGGAACAGGGCTATGGGCACGGGGCTGGCGTGGGTCATCCAGCCATCGGGAGGGCGCACAGGGCTATGGGCGCGGGGCTGGCGTGGGTCATCGGGCCCCGGGGAGGGTGCACAGGGCTATGGGCGCGGGGCTGGCATGGGTCATCGGGCCATCGGGAGGGCGCACAGGGCTGTGGGTGTGGGGCTGGTGCTCAGGCCTTCCTGCCCTCTGCAGAGCCGCCCGGCTGCCCTGATCCGTCACCCATGCTACCTCAGCGGCTACCAGACCACACTGGCCCTGGCCCCACTGTACGAGTCACCCTGTGTCCACACCACACCCCCCCCGAACCTCCCCCAGAACCTCACAGTTGAAGGGACAGGCAACCCTGGGGCCTGCGTCTCAGCCATCCGGGAACTTTTCAACTTCTCCAGCTGCCAGGGCCGGGAGGACTGTGCCTTCGACGGCATCTACCAGCCCCCGCTGCAGGGCAAGTTCTACGTGAGCTCCCACGCCGCCCCCGCCCCAAGGGGTCCCGGCTTCCTTGTGGGGCCCTGGGTGCCTGTCTGACTGCAGCAGGCCCAGGAGGGGCCCAGGCTGGCTCTTGGGGGCTCTGGGAGCCCGGGTGGGGTGGGGATCTGACCCAGCGTAGCCACAGTGAAGCACAGCTGCCTCCTTCTCGCCCAGGCCTTCTCCAACTTCTACTACACCTTCCACTTCCTGAACCTCACCTCCGGGCAGCCCCTGAGCACGGTCAACGCCACCATCTGGGAGTTTTGCCAGAGGCCCTGGAAACTGGTGAGTGGGCCCCGGTTTCCCCGGCTGCAGCGAGGGTCCCTGAGGGGGCAGGGCTGCCCCGGGCAGGATGCTGGCGCCTCATTCTGGGCAGCGCGGCAGGCAGCGCGGCTGGCAGCGCCGGGGGAGGCACGGGCAGAGGACAGCTCTAGGCCGTGCCGCTCCAGACAGGAGGCTGTGACCACAGCTGCAGCTGGGCCCAGCCTCTGGCCCGCCAAGAGGGGGCTGCAGCCCGCACCATTTAACCGGTCAGCGGGGCCAGGGAGGGGCTCTCGACCACTGCCCAGCACCCTCTTGTTGTCTGGGTGTCAGGTTGGCCAGGGCAGATGGGGCAGTCCCCCCATGACTGAGGATCGGGGGGTCCTCACCTGGTACCTTGGCCTCCTGGGCCCCAGGTGGAGGCCAGCTACCCTGGGCAGGACCGCTGGCTGCGAGACTACTGTGCCTCAGGCCTGTACATCCTCACCCTCCTGCATGAGGGCTACAGGTTCAGCGAGGAGACCTGGCCCAGCCTCGAGTTCCGAAAGCAGGTCAGGTGACTGCCTCCCCTGGGCGCGGGCGGGTCGTGGCCCTGGGGTAGCTGCCCCGCAGCCCTGAGCAGCCGTGTGTCCTGCAGGCGGGAGGTGTGGACATTGGCTGGACACTGGGCTACATGCTGAACCTGACCAGGATGATCCCAGCCGACGCACCGGCTCAGTTGTGGGCAGTGAGCTACGGCGTCTGGGTGGCCAAAGTGGTGTTCATGGTGCTGACCCTGGTGGCGGTGGTGGGGGCTGCCTTGGTCCAGGTCTTCTGGTTGCAGGACTAGTGGGAGGCGGAGGTGGGCCCCCACAGAGCCCACAGGCAGCTGCGTCCCAGATGCTGGAGCCTTCCTGAGCCCTGAGCACTGTGGGACCTTGCTCTGTGGCTCTGCCCAAGGTCAGGTGACAGCCACCTCCAGGGCACCCTCGGGGTGGTGCTGTCCACAGAGGCTGCGTGGCCTCCCCTCCCGGCGTCCCTGGACCCCGCCCCCTCCCACACTGGGCTTCCAGGGCCCTTGGTGCCTTTCTGCACACAGGCCACCAGGACTCATGGTGTCTCCAAGCTGTGTGACTGCAGGGCCACATACTGCCTGCAAAGGGGGCAAGACCACAGAGGCATAGGGTCCTGCTCCTGACAGGGCCTCAGGAAGGGTAGAGAGGGGCAGAGGGGAGGGAGCTGCCTTGCCTGGACCCCCGCTCTGCCTGGTGCTGCAGGAGTCCAGACCCGGGGGCTTCTCCTGGGCCAGCCCAGCCTCCCACACCTGCTTGGAGGGTTACACTGCAGTGAGCATGGTTTTTATTAAAACATCATGTACACAGCATTGCTAGGGATGATCTCCCTGCTGGGATTGGGGCAGGCAGCCGGGGGCTCCTGACATCTGAGGGCCGGCGGGGACCACGAAGCACTTGGGGAAGATGCCAATGCGGCCGTCACAGTGGCCCTCCAGCCATGCCTCGTCCACTGCAAGAGGGACGTTGGGCTCTGCAGGGTGCTACCCAGACGTGGCACCCAGACGCCTCTGGGTGCCACATCTGCTCACGGCACAGGCCAAGCCGTAAGCCCCCCACACCCCGGGCATCCCGGTGCTGCCTGTGAAGGGCCATGCCCACCCTACCTTCACACAGGACGTCCACCATGTCCCCCTGTCGGAAACCCAGGTCCTCTGGCCCCTGGGCTGAGTAGCCGTACTGGGCCACCACCTGGTAGAGGACTGGCCGGCCCCCAGCTCCCTGTGGCAGGAGAGTGGGCTGCAGGTCGGGCCGGGCACTGAGAGGAGGGTCCTCCACCATCCCTCAGGGTGCCCCTGCCTCTGCCCCTGCCCTGCCCTCGGCTCACCCTGCACTGCAGCTGCAGCCCCCTGGGGCCAGCAGCCGCGTCCAGCCAGGCCCTCTGCAGCGACTCCTCCTCGGGGATGGGGACCCACTGCCTGTCCTCACCTGGGGCTTGGTAACTGCAAAGAGGTTCCTCAGAGGGGGCCTCTAGGGTGGGGCCTGCAGGGAGGACGGTGACCTCTGCCACCCCCTCTTCCAGCAGCTGCCTCAGTCAGGGCGGTGCCCAGCGCAGAGTCCACCGCCACCCCTGCCCAGCTCCGCCGCAGCCCGCAGGGGCTTTCTGGCCCACCTGAGTTGCCCAAGCTGGGCCTGGTGAGGGAGGGCCTGGCCCAGCAGTGCCCGCAGGCTGGACAAGTCGGCTCCTCTTCTTGCCCTCAGGGCCACGGTGAAGGTGCACTGCACGGTGACAGTCACTAGGGGCTCGGAGCCCCCCGCACCTGCTCCCTGCGGCCAGGCAGGAGGGGGAGGGATGACCACTGAGGCTCCGGGTCTGGTCAGGGCCGTCTTCAGCCCGAGGGGTGTGGGCAGAGACTGGGCAGGTGAGGGGGGCTTGCAAGCCTTGATTCTGAGGGATGGGGTTTGGCCTCGGCCTCCCTCAGGTGACTGACAGGTGAAGGGTCTGGAGCCTCTTACCCCAGCACCCGCGGGGTCCTCACAGGGGCCGGGGCCAGGCGCCCCCGTTGCTGGCGGCCCTGCAGGACAGAGCAAGGACTGACACAGCCACTCCCACCAAAGTGGGCCCTGTGGGTGGAGCCGGCAGCTGTGCGCCAGCAGCTTCCTCCCTCACCTGGGGACCCCACTGCTCAGGACCCCCATACCTGGGGGGAGAGGAGCCTGTTTGCCAACTTGCTCCACCTGGGGCCTCTGCAAGAGAAGCACAGGCTGGGTGGGCCGGGGTGGTCAGGTGCCGGAGGCCAGTACCGTCCTAGCAGAACCCACGGCAAGGGTGTGGCATGTGTGCCCGGCCAGCGCCCAGTAGGCAGCCTGCCCACAGTCAGCTGCCTTAGGATGGGGCTGGGTCCCTGCAGGCCTAGAGGCTGCCTGTCACCAGGAGGGAGCACCACGTCCCCCCAGGCCCACCGAGGTGGCAGCTCAAGGTGGGTGGGCTCCCCAGTGACCCTAGGAAGCTGAGGACCCAGTCCCTGGCCCCCGGCCTCTGTGTGGGCTGGACATTAACCGTGTGCCCTGAGTTGGGCACCAAGGAGGGGACGAGTTCACCGCCTGCAAGTCACAAAGTCACAGCCTGGCGCTGGCTGGACCCTGAGGGTCAGGTGGTAGTGGTGGTGGTCGTGTTTGAGATGGAATCTCGCTGTCGTCCAGGCTGGAGTGCAGTGGCGCGATCTCAGCTCACTGCAAGCTTCGCCTCCTGGATTCACGCCATTCTCCTGCCTCAGCCTCCTGAGTAGCTGCGACTACAGGCTCCCACCACCACGCCCGGCTAACTTTTTGTATTTTTAGTAGAGACGGGGTTTCACCGTGTTAGCCAGGCTGGTCTCGATCTCCTGACCTCGTGATCGCCTGCTTTGGCCTCCCAAAGTGCTGGGAGTACATCGTGAGCCACCGCACCTGGCCTTTTCTTTCCTTTTTTTTTTTGAGATAGGGTCTTGCTCTGTCGCCCAGGCCAGAGTGGAGTGGCACTGTCATGGCTCACTGCAGCCTCCACCTCCCAGGCTCAAGCGATCCTCCCACCTCAGCCTCCCACAGTGTTGGGATTACAGACATGAGCCAGTGTGCCCGGCCTCAGTTGTAACTTACTAGATTTATCAGATGGTTGAAGTTGCCTTAGGTTAGGAAGGATGAGGGCTTAAAGGCCCATCGTGGGAACTGGGCGAATGGTTCCAGACCCAGAGGGAATTGAGTGAAGCAGAGCTTGGAGGGCGCCCTTGCCTCTAGGATGCCACAGTTAAACTGGAAGTGGGCATCCATAAAGAGAGAGTGCCGGGGCTGCTTCCTGACCACATCCTCAGATGCGCCCAGCATGAAATGCAGGTGCCGCCTTTGGGCCTCCTGGAGTCCTGCAGCAGAGCCCCTGCCCACGGCTGCTACCCTGGGAGCAGCTGGGTTCTTGCTTTCCTCCGCCTCTCCCTAGGTGCCAGGGGCATCCGGAAGGACTGGGGAGATGGAGTCGCTGCTGGGCCCCCATGTGGGGGCGGGAGCCTCGGGGCCCCTCCAGAGCTGTCCTGCCTCCTGCCTGTCCCCAGCTGGATCACTCCTGGTCACTCCCACCCCAGTGGGAGGGGAGGGGCCGTGGCCAGCCTGAGGTGGTCCTGGGGGCTGAGGGCCTGCAGGGCTACCTGGATGTCTCCACTGGACACCACCTCTCTCCTGCCCTGATGGCTGGCACCCTCTCGCCTCGGGCACAGCCAGGCACTCTCCCATCTGGCTGGGCTGGGCCAGGACCGTGGGTGAGCCTGGCCCCATCTACCCCGCAGTGAGCTGCTCCCTCCACCCTCGTGTTGGTTTCACTGTGGTCCCCGGTCCGCAGAGGCAGCAGAAGCACCAACCCCCAGCAGGGGAAGAGGCCCAGGCCCACGAACCCGCTCCTGGTAGGCGGTCGACGTGCAGCGGTCAGCACCGACCTCCGTCTCTGCATCGAGGGGGCCCTGGTGGGTGCCAGCTCTTGGGGAGTCCATGACTGGGGACCTGGGAAGAGGAGGGAGGCTCTCAGGCCCGGCCCATCTGAGTGCCCTCCTGTGCCCGGCCCGAATGGCCCCATGGGGAGGGCCTCTGCCCGCAGGAAAGGGACGTGCTCGCAGGGCCCAGCCGGCCCCTCCTACCTGGCATCGAGGTTCGCTCCCAGTCCCTGTGGATACAAAGCAACAACCTCGCTCTGGTAAAGGGTCGGGGGCTGCTCTCCGTCCTCCCGAACTTTGAAGAGTGGCCTCCCCAGGTCTCACACAGGGACGGGACGGCCACCCCACACTCCCGTCAGAGGAACTTTGCGGCCCCAGGAGGGCTCCAAGCTTGTGCAGGGTTTCCTTTCCCACAAAGCTGGGTGAGGCCAGGCGGGGACTGAGGGGCCGCAAACCCACCTGTGGCTGCTGAGGGCGGACACCCCACCGCTGGTCATCGGGGATGGCAGAGGCCACCACCTGGCGGGGACAGTGGGGGCTCCGGGTCAGGGACCAGTGGCCCGGCGGGGTCTGCTCCCTGCAGCCTGCCCCACCGCACCCCGCAGCTCTAAGTCCCTGGGGGCTGGGCGACAGCTGCCCACGCCCGGCCCTCGTCTGCCACCATGGAGGGAAATGTCTGATGGAAGGAAACATCTGCTGCAATATTAACTTACTTTTAGCACAACTTTTTTTTTTTTTTTTTTTTTTATTCTTTTTGAGATGGAGTCTCGCTCTGTCGCCCAGGCTGAAGTGCAGTGGCCCGGGATCTCAAGCTCACTGCAACTCCACCTCCTGGTTCACGCCACTTCTCCTTGTCCTCAGCCTCCCTAGTACTCTGGACTGCAAGGCGCCCGCCACCAGTCGCCCGGCAGTTTTGTGTATTTATTTTAGTAGAGACGGGTTTCACCGTGTTAGCCAAGGATGGGTCTCGATCACCTGACCTCGTGATCCACCCGTCTCGGCCTCCCAAAGTGCTAGGATTACAGGCGTGAGCCACCGCGCCTGGCCTTTAGCACAACTTTAAAAACATTTTTGTTTCTTATAAACAGCCCTCTACTGTGATATGCGGACTCTAAGTTGATGCACTAACACAGCTCAGAGCCCGGTTTCGCCCCTCTAAGGCCTCCCGCGCTGGGCAGCTGCACTGGGCCACACAGGGGTCGGCCACCCACCACCCCAGCAATGCAGTAACCGAGGGGGCGTGGTCAGTCGGGGGCGTGGTCAGTCGGGGGCGTGGTCAGTCGATGGGGGCGTGGTCACCCAGGGGCGTGGCCAGCCAAGGGTGACCCAGTCTTCGCCCACCAGGAGTTCTTCTCCACGTTTCACTCCCAGCCTTTGGGGGTGAGCAGCTCCCTATTCCTGTGACTTTAGGGGTGCTGCCTGACCTTGACCCAAGTATGGGCGTAACGTGGCCCAGACCGTCGGACTGCAGCCCCCGCCCCCGCAAGACCTTGCTATCTGTGGCAGGCACACAGGGACCCCCTCTGGGACCTCGCTATCTGTGGCAGGGACACAGGGAGACACAAAGGCACGAAGGGACGCAGAGAGACGCAGGGACTCCGGGAGGCTGCAAGGCTGTGGCTGTGGCCATGGCCCAGGCTGGGTAGGGGGGGCACCCGCAGGTTCCTTGTTGGGAGAGCTGGAGCCCCCTCCTATGCAGCTGGCTCTAGTGGACTCTGCCTCCAAGGTGACAGCCCCATTTGGGGCACTGCCCCCCTGCCCTGGGCGCCAGTTTGAGGATGGCTGTGGGCCCACTCTACCCTCCTGGCCTTTACGGTGGCCTGGACTGCACACCGCCCCCCTTCCCTGGGAACACAGTTCGAGGGCTCAGCACCGGCGGCAATGCCCTAGGACGCCGCCCCCATCTTTACCTTGGCCTTGCCCAGGAAATCCACGGGCTCCAGGTGCTCCAGATGCCGCCGGTGGGGCCGGAAGACCTCGCCCCTGGGAACCTGCCGTGGCGGCAGTGAGCCCTGTCTCTGGAGGGGGTGGGCATCCAGCAGATGCAGATGGGGTGACCGACCAGGCCTGCAGCTGCAGAGCCCCTGTGCCTTGGAGCAGCAGGGGCCGCTTGGGCCCCCCACCCCCTTCCCACAGGCCACAGGAAGCACCCGCCTGGCACTCGAAACTGGGCACTAGGGCCATCTCCCTCCAGAAGCTTCTTCATCTCGTGAAATTGGTCTTGAGGGGCTGTGGTAGGCACCAGCCCAAAACCATGACCGGGTTGGCACTCCTCACCTGCACTTGGTCCAGGGCTGAGTCCAGGCCATTCAGGGACCCCTCCGGCCACTTGGACATGGCCTCCCTCAGGCTGCCGGCCGCCTCTGTCCAGAGCCCCAGCTGGCACTGTGCCGACGCCACATTGTATAGCACCTGGGAGTGGGGCCAAGGTGATGGCAGGGGCCTGATCCCCCACCCAGACTCTCCCCCGTTCCCCCACCCAGCTCCTTCCTCAATCCTCCCACCCAGCCCCTCCCCCAGTACCCCCACCCAGCTCCTCCCCAATCCCCCCCACTGGACTCCTCTCCCAATCCTCCCACCTGGCCCCTCCCCTGGTCCCCCCACCCGGCCCCTCCCCCAGTTCCCCTACCCAGCCCCTCCCCTGCACCATTCTGTGTCCTGGGCTGGAGGCCCCCACCTGACTTTAACCCTGGCTGCAGACCCACACTGGGGGGCTTTCCCTTCCAACTTTCCGTCCTAAGACAATGCTATTCCTAGAAGGCTTCAGGGTGGTGCATTACTGGGGTCTGGTGGGGGGACCCTCTCAGTGCCCCTCCCTCAGTGCCAACACGTTCCAGGCAGCCAGGAAAGGGCTGGGGGCACAGTGGAGGGTGGGCACAACCCTCTGCCTGCTCCCTGCCCACCCAGCGGCCTTTCGCCTCTGCCCTCCTCCTGGGTGGAGCCACCCCTGGTGGCCTGAAACGGCACAAAATGGTCCCTCCACCTCCACTGCCACCAGAACCTCCTGCGGGTCAAGGAGTAGCCAGGGGATTCCACGGCACCAAGAGCTTCGGGCAGAGGCGCTCCCCAGTCCACAGGGCCCTCCTGTGATGGCGCCGCCGCCCGTGGACACCCCACAGCCAGCAGCAGAGTGGGCCCTGCCCGGCCTCACCTCCCAGGCTTGCAGCTTGAACCGCAGGCCCAGCTGTGTGTAGTCGATGGCAGCGTGGCCCCTCAGCTGTGCCAGGGCCAGCCGGAAGTCAGACAGAGCCTCCTGGAACCTGTGGGCAGCCAGGGTCCCCTCAGTGGCGCAGGGCGGAGACGGGGCTGGGGCCGAGCAGTTTTCACATCCAGCCCTGCTCCAGCGCCCCCCAACACCTGGTTCCAAGGAGACCTGAAGGAGGGCAGTGCGGTGTCTGTCTCCACACTCAGGTCTGGGTAGGTGGGCCAGGGGTCCATGAACATGTGTTCTGAGTGGGTGTGGGGGTCACCGTGTGCTGGGGCTCCAGCATTTTCCCAGCTGAGACTCAGCGTCCTGGGCCCCTGCCTGCCCCCAAGCCTCTCTTCTGAACTGTGCAGAGCGCCTTGGTTATTTCCCTCCCTCTTCACAGGCCCCCCACCCCAAGGGGGCAATCTCTCCAAACTCTGAGCCTCCTTCCAAGCCTTGCTGGAGCTCCCTAGCGCCTGCCGGAAACGCTTCTCCTTCCGGCGGGCTTCCCGTGCCCGTCTGAAGGACAGGCCGCCCCCAGAGGGGTCTGGGTGGTCATCCAGAAAGGCAGAGTCCCACAGCCATCATCCCGAATGCTGGCTCCTCAGTCAAGGAAGAGATGGCTTTTTCGTTCATCTGCGTTTCTGAAAGGCAAAATAGCTCGAGATCCTGGCTCTCTGGGCGACTGCATACGTGGTGGCCCCTGAAGCCTTTGATGGATCTTGTTAGAAGACGGGTTGTTCGTCTTGGTGTTTTGATGACCAGTGATAAAACCAGGTGCACACAATCACCATCCAGAGTCTACGCACGTACGTCTTCCCCCTTCTGACCTAGCTCCTCACGAGCACTGTCATCTGCTCGTAGCTGTCACACCCGTGAGCCTGTCACTAGAGTGCATGAATTTGTGCTTGAAAAAATATGTATGTTGGCAGGGTGCGGTAGCTCATGCCTGTAATCCCAGCACTTTGGGAGGCCGAGGCGGGCGGATTACGAGGTCAGGAGATCGAGACCATCCTGGCTAACACGGTGAAACCCCGTCTCTACTAAAAAAAATACAAAAAATTAGCTGGGCGTGGTGGTGCCTGCCTGTAATCCCAGCTACCCGGGAGGCTGAGGCAGGAGAATCGCTTGAACCCAGGAGGCGGAGCTTACAGTGAGCCGAGATCCCGCCACTGCACTCCAGCCTGGGCGACAGAGTGAGACTCTGCCTCAAAATAATTTTTAAAAAGTAAATAAATATCTTTTACAGAATTTTATTTTCTCTAGAATTACACTTTTTGGGATTTTAGACTTAAGGCTCTCGGGACTGTGATCCACTTCCCCACAGAGCCTGCCCTCCTGGGATGGGGCCTTTGAGCATCAGGCAGAGAGGCCGAGGCAGGGCCTGGCCTGCAGTCCCGATGGTCTCCCTTCCCTCATTCCTCCTTTAGGAAGGGACATGGTGCAGAGGGCCCAGGTGAGCAGTGAGGACCCGACCACCTGTGTTCAAGGGTGGTGGTCAGCAGAGGTGAGGGCCACAGTCTCTGCCCAGGTTTCCCTGGAGCCAGGAACCACGGAGGAGGGAGTGGGCAAGAGGAGGGAGCAGGTGGAGACGGAGGAGGGGGGAGTGCAGGAGTGGACTCTGCAGGGAGACAAAGAGCCGTCAGAGAAGGAACAAGGCACCCCTGTACTCACCTCGCCAGCTGGAAGTTGGCCACTCCTCGCTGGAAGAAGCCAACCGCCATGCAGGTGTCCTTGGTCACGGCTTGGTCAAATGCCTGGGGACAAAAATGCCCATGGGATGCCAAGGTCTGTAACCTGGTCACACAGCATCACAGATACGGTGTGATCGGTGCCAGGGCCACAGAATCCCATCAGCCCTTCCTGCTCCTGTCCAGGGACCTTTGGAGGCTCCTGCCTGGGCAGGGCTGTTACCACTCAGGCTGCCACAGCCCACCCAACCCCAACCCGTCCAGGGTGCAAAGCCCACTGAGGTGCTGCTAAAACTGATTTGTTTACCGTGAGCACAAGGACAGACGCTGGAAAAAAGTGTTCCAGTGTGTTAATAATAGTTACCTCAGGGGGTGGGGTTATACGAGACTTTTGTCTTTTAAAAATCTTTTTTTTTTTTTGAGACGGGGTCTCGCTCTGTCACCCAGGTTGGAGTGCAGCGGCTCGATCTCGGCTCACTGCTGCCTCCACCTCTGGGTTCAAGAGATTCTCGAACTCCTGACCTCAGGCGACCTTGGCTGTCACAATATTGGAGATGAGATAACACAGCCCAGATCCCAGAGTCACCAGTTAAAGACCTGCATTACAGGCCGGGCATGTTAGCCCACACCTGTAATCCTAGCACTTTGGGAGGCCGAGGCAGGCGGATCACGAGGTCAGGAGTTCGAGACCAGCCTGGCCAACATGGTGAAACCCTGTCTCTACCAAAAATACAAAAATGAGCTGGGCATGGCGGCACGCGCTTGTAATCCCAGCTACTCGAGAGGCTGAGGCAGCACAATCGCTTAAACCAGGGAGGCGGATGTTGCAATGAGCCGAGATCATGCCACTGCACTCCAGCCTGCAAGACAGAGCAAGATTCTGTTTCAAAACATAAAATAAAAATCCTTTTTGGATAGTTCATGCAAAATGACACACTAGAAATCTACTAGAATCAGAAAGAACAACACACATGTCTTCATGGGTTTATCTGTGTGTAAAGCACAGCTCTTCCTTAAACCAGACTCAGAAAGGACGTAGAATGTTCTGAACAGGGACTGTGGCCATCAGTTAAGTGTGTGTGACAGGAAGCGTGCTATGGTCTCTATTTCACAAATTTGGCTGAGCGGGGTCTTGTCGCTGAACCGAGTTCACACAGGTGTGAAGTGTGGTGGCTGAGCACAGGCACGCAGCCCTGATGTGGGGTGGTTGCTCAGGGCCGGCAGAACCCACCTGTCTTCCCCAAACCTCACGCAAGGCTCCTACCAAGAGACAGCAGTTCCAGCAACACCTGCACCCTGGCCTGCCCCTCAGATGATCGGTTTTATGAATCACAGCTGTTCCATCCTCTTTCCTAAGTTCCTATATTCCTAATACCATATGCTGTGATTAGTTGTATTGACTTTCACTGTGTCCTCTCTCTGTAGTGAAACCAGGCATGTGAGCACGGGGTGACTGGGTTAGCCCCGAACATAGGATTTGTTGCTGAACCACCTGGTGTCTAATGATTACATTCCCTTTCTTGGATAACATTTTAAAATGAAATCATTGTGGGTGGGGCAACGTGGCTCATATTTGTAATCCCACCAACTTTAGGAGGCCGAGGAGGGTAGATCACCTGAGGTCAGGAGTTCAAGACCAGCCTCACCAACATGGTGAAACCCGTCTCTACTAAAAATACAAAATCAGCCGGGCAGGGTGGTGGGCGCCTCTAATCCCAGCTCCTCGGGAGGCTGAGGCAGAATTGCTTGAACTCCAGAGGCAGAGGTTGCAGTGAGCCCAGATGGCGCCACTGCACTCGAGTCAGCCTGGGCGACAGAACAAGACTCCATCTTTTTTTTTTTTTGAGACAAGACTCCATCTTTGAAACAAACAAAAAAATGAAATCATTGTGGAGGTGACTGTAAATTTGTATGCAGCTTTAAGACACAAGAGAGGGGGGTCTCATGCACTTTGCCCAGTCTCCTCCAAGGGGGATATTTTGTGAGTCAGGGGCGTGGATACCCTCTCACAGAGCGAAGTTCCCTCTCCTTTTCATCGCTGCTGTCACGAAGCCTTCAATAACCGTGGGCACCTGCTTGCTTCTGCAGCGTGCTTGGGACTGAGCGTGGGGGCAGCGCTGGTGTTTGGAATGCGCAGGTACAAGCGGCCTCGGAACGGGGGCGGGTGCAGGAAGGGCAGCGGACTCCGTGCAGGGCCTTGGCCGCTGCACCCGGGCACCCTGGACTCCTGGCTGTTTCGGGGAGTGGGCTGGGGGATGACTGAGGGCTCAGAGGAGGAGACTGACCCGGTCTCCTGGCCATGACCACAGGTGCAACGCTTTCCCCTTGGGGCAGGGCGGCCCCTCGGGCCTGACCCAGCGCAGCAGCTTCCCCCTTCCCGGTGTGAGTCACCCTCGGGCCCGGGCCTCTGCCAGTAACCGCCGCGCCCCCCAGCCCGGCCTCGCTCAGCTCAGGTGCGGCCCCCACTGCTGCGCTCCCACCTGCAGGGGCGTTCGCTGGGTCGGGGCCGGCAGGGCGACCCCGTAACCGTCGGGGAGGGGCGCAGAGCCCTCCCCAGGGGCTCGAGGCGGAGGCATCGTCCGCACCGGCCTCCCCACGCCCCGCTCACCCGCAGCGCGGCCTCGGCGTCCCCGGCCAGCAGGTGCACGCAGCCCGCGTTGAAGCACAGCCTGGCGGACGGCGCCGGGACGCTCGAGAACAGGTGCAAGGCGCGGGCCCAGTCCCCGCGATCCACGGCCTGCGCGCCCAGGTGCCAGGCGCGCACCAGGTCCCCCAGAGAGGCCATGGCGGCCCGTGGCGGCTCGAGGAGGAGCTGGGATCCCGCAGAGGGTCCGGAACCGGGTCTGGGTCCGGGTCCAGGAGGCGGCGCGGGGCTGCGGGACCTGGGAAGCGGGCAGAGGAGCGGCAGCCGCACGCCAGGTGCAACCCCGCTGCCCCACGGCGCCCCCTGGCGGCAGGCGCCCGCTCCTCCCCGGTAGGGCCCCGCCCCGTCCGGGACCTCCTGACCACGCCCCCGCCTGAGACGGCCACGCCTTCCAGCCCTCCGACCACGCCCGCCTCCCATTCAGGCCCCGCCCCGGCCGGACTTCCGCCTGGAGCTTTGTGCGCCCGGCTTCCCAGCCCCTCCCGCACTGGCCTCGGTGCGCCGGATAAAGCCCTCCGGGCCAGCCGCTGCGGTAGGGCCAAGGTTCCGCGCCGGGCGTGGACGGTGTGGGGCGGCCCCGGCCCTGCAGGTGAGCGACCCCGGGCCGCGCGGGCCAGGTGGGCGGCCTGGGCGCGAAGGGCAGAGCGGGGCCGGGCCCAGTGCGCGCGTCCTGAGGTGAGGGCCGCAGCTGAGAGTGAGCCGGGGGCGGGCCGCCGGCTCTCCCGGGGTGGGGAAACTGAGGCCCCGATGGGGCGGGGAAAGCGCGTTCTCCTGCAGGGCCCCGCTCCGGAGGCCGCCGGGCAGCCGGACGCCGCGGGACGCTGAGCCGACCCCGCCGCCCTGTCCCGCGGGGCCTGCCCTCCTCCGCGCCTTCCGAGCGCGGACGTCACGGGACCCGGAGGCCCTTCGCTCCGTCGCCGAGGAGGCGGCGCTCCCGGTGGAACGCGCGCCCAGGCCTGCCCTCCCCGGGAGAAGGGACGGGCGCCTCCCTGCAGGGGCCCTGGCTTCCTGCCCACCGGCGCTGAGTCCTGTATTAGTTGTGAACCTAAACTAATGAAAAGGGTCAGAATGTGGTGCCCGGTGGGTTTATTGAGGCACAGAGGTCGAGGGCGGCCTGGGTCACCAGGTGCACCGGAGAACAAGACAGAGGCTCAGGTTTTTAAAGAAAAGAGAGCCCGTCGGAGAGCAGGTGGTTTGGAGCTCACTGGCTTGTAGAAATGGCATTGGTTCGCGATTGGCCACGGCTGGGTGTTACCAGTGGGAAGTTACTTGGCTCAAGGGGTAGTGAGGGACTGCGATTTCATTTGAAATGCTTTCTGGTACTTAACATCAGGCTTTCTGGGCCAGAAGTTTAAAAGGGCTTTGCATTCCTCAGATAAATGATTTTTTTCTTTCTCATTTGCCCCCCTTTTGATCAAAATATTTCTTCTTGAAAGCATTGATTATCAAAATCTGAGGGTCAGAGTGTCCCCTCTTGCTGGGAAGGCTCATTCCCACATAGTCCTGTCCCATGCCAAGCAGGGAAGGAGGAGACATTTCAGGGAGGATTGTTTTTTTTAAGAACATCACAAACTGAATTGGAATGGCATCACAGGGTGGCAAACATGAGGCCTCAGTGAAGTCATTAATTTATACAGCTGTTATCACCTGTTGAATCATCTCTAGTTTTTAGAAACACCATTAATTTTAGTTTTCTCAGAAGTAACACATAGGACTATAACCAATTTATATGCTAGGATGAAAGAAACATACCTGTTCCATTAGGGAGACAACTAAAAACATGAAGAAACTAAAATCCATGTTCTTCTTTATTTATTGTTTATTTAGCGATGAGGTCTTGCTTTGTCGCCCACGCTGGAGTGCAGAGGCACAATCCCCACTCATAGCAGCCTTGAGCTCTTGGGCTTAAAGGGTCCTCTTGTCTCAGCCTCCCGAGTACCTGGGAATACAGGTGTTTGCCACCAGGACCGGCTATTTTTAAAATTTTTTTGGTGGAGACTAGGTCTTGCCACCGTGCCCAGGCTAGTCTCGAACTCCTGAGCCCAAGCGATCCTCTCATCTGGGCCTCCCAAAGTGCTGGGATTATAGGTGTGAACACTGTACCCAGCCAGGTTCTTCTTTAGAGACTTGTAGCCGGAAGATTGTTCAGGATTTAGTCCAGATTGTAGGAAAATAAAAAATACAATGATCAGGGATAGAATCCAGTAATAGGTATGCTATAGTTTTTCTCTGAAACATAATTTTTCTCTACTTCCCCATTTCTACCAAAGATAAATCTTGGTAAGACCAATTTACTTGTAAAATAAATTTTAGGATTATATTTGGCCTGATTATTTGCCTAAAGTACAACAACAGTGATGACTGGCCATACAGGCTCCTTTTTTTTTTTTTTTTTGAGACGGAGTTTTGCTCTGTAGCCCGGGCTGGAGTGCAGTGGCCGGATCTCAGCTCACTGCAAGCTCCGCCTCCCAGGTTTACGCCATTCTCCTGCCTCAGCCTCCCGAGTAGCTGGGACTACAGGCGCCCGCCACCTCGCCCGGCTAGTTTTTGTATTTTTTAGTAGAGACGGGGTTTCACCATGTTAGCCAGGATGGTCTCGATCTCCTGACCTCGTGATCCACCCGTCTCGGCCTCCCAAAGTGCTGGGATTACAGGCTTGAGCCACCACGCCCGGCCCAGGCTCCTTTTTAAATTGGCTGGAACTTTGCCATAAGGAATTTCAGATTAGACTTTTTTCCCCCATGTCAGACAGGTAATGTGCTGACATAATAACAGGGTTTGAGGGAGACATACCCTACACATAAGGCAATCATCATGCTTATGAACTACAAAAGGGTCAGATTAGACCTTTAAAAGCCACTTGAGGGGTGGGCACGGTGGCTCACGCCTGTAATCCCAGCACTTTGGGAGGCCAAGGCGGGCGGATCACGAGGTCAGGAGATCGAGAGCATCCTGGCTAACACAGTGAAACACCGTCTCTACTAAAAAAAAATACAAAATATTAACCAGGCGTGGTAGAGGGCACCTGTCCCAGCTACTCCAGAGGCTGAGGTGGAGAATGGCGAACCCGGGAGGCGGAGCTTGCAGTGAGCCGAGATCGTACCACTGCACTCCAATCTGGCCGACAAGAGCGAGACTCCGTCTCAAAGAAAATAAATAAAATAATACCTGTATGAATTAGGGGGTGAATGTCTTCCAGGTCCCAAACTATCTTGAAGTTCCTGGATCTGTCAGAAAGTGGCATTCTTTACTTACCTCAAGGCCAAGAACCTTGTAAGGGAACTATGTAAACAGGGCACCAGTCCAGTCATCCCAAGGGGCTTTTTATTGGTTCTGTAAAGTGAACCTCGATTCCTCAAAGCAGTCTGGTCATATCCGAAAATACGTCATCCCAGTCCAAGCCTTGGTAGAATAACCAGGGTCTCCAATTGTGTCCTGTTACGAGGAAAACAGATTCTTACTGAACTCATGCAAATAACTACATTGCCATAAAATAAGAATACTCATGAATCACTTCCAGATTTTTGAGAAATCAGAGAAAAAGACAAATGTTTCAGTTTTGCTCACAAAAGTGTATGTGACCCAATTGCTATAGCTATAAATAGCTCAAACAGAAAAAGGATTTTTGACTCTGGAAAACAAAATATAAAAAGAGTCAGCTAGGTTTCAACAACAACAAAAAGTCACAAAAAGCATTTCAGATCTCTCTCAGTTCCGTTCTGTGTAATTTGCTTTTTTTTGAGATGGAGTCTCGCTCTGTCACCCAGGCTGGAGTGCAGTGGCAAGACCTCGGCTCACTGCAAGCGCCGCCTCCTGGGTTCACGCCATTCTCCTGCCTCCGCGTCCCAAGTAGCTGGGACTACAGGCGCCGCCACCACGCCAGACTAATTTTTTGTATTTTTAGTAGAGACAGGGTTTCACTGTGTTAGTCAGGCCAGGATGGTCTCGATCTCCTGACCTCGTGATCCACCTGCCTTGGCCTCCCAAAGTGCTGGGATTACAGGCGTGAGCCACCGCACCCAGCCGCTTTCTTCTGTATGATGCTGGGTTAGCAATCCTCATGAAAGCATCGGCTTTTTTTTTTCTTTTTTTGAGATGGAGTCTCGCTCTGTCGTCCAGGCTGGAGTGCAGTGGCCAGATCTCAGCTCACTGCAAGTTCCGCAGGTTTACGCCATTCTCCTGCCTCAGCCTCCCGAGTAGCTGGGACTACAGGCGCCTGCCACCTCGTGCGGCTAGTTTTTTTGTATTTTTAGTAGAGACGGGGTTTCACCGTGTTAGCCAGGATAGTCTCGATCTCCTGACCTTGTGATCCGCCCGTCTCGGCCTCCCAAAGTGCTGGGATTACAGGCTTGAGCCACCGCGCCCGGCCAGCATCGGCTTTTTAATAAGAGTCCTGGAAATTTTTACTTGGTCCATGGGTGTGATCTCCCAAGTTATCAGAAGTCTGTATACTTGTCAGTGTCCTTTCCATGAAGTTCCTTGAAGAAAATGCACATTTTGGACTGTAGCTTATTTTATTTATTTATTTATTTTGAGACGGAGTCTCGCTCTGTTGCCCAGGATGGAGTGCAGTGGCGCAATCTCGGGGTTACTGCAACCTCTGCCTCCCAGGTTCGAGCAGTTCTCCTGCCTCAGCCTCCCGAGTAGCTGGAATTACAGGCATGTGCCACCATACCCAACTAATTTTGTATTTTTAGTAGAGATGGGGTTTTGCCACGTTGGCCTTGCTGGTTTCGAACTCCTGACCTCAAGTGATCCACCCGCCTCAGCCTCCCTAAGTGTTGGGATTACAGGCATGAGCCACCATGCCTGGCCTTAAACTGCATTTTGAGAAGAAAGTAAAACAGTAATTTTCTGTGGATAACAAAAGACTTAGAGTAGCCATGGGTGAAGATGCGATTGACAGGGAATTTGGTTCCTTCTGTGGTTAAAACAATTGAACATATAATCAGGACTGATAACATATACCAAGACATGTCAGAATTTCTAGGAATCTCATACAGTTTTGGAACATATGTTAATAATACATTTATAGAAATATAACTCAAACAGCATTCCACATTTGACGATGCTTCCTGTATGATTTTAACGTACCAGATAAGCCTCATACATACCTCTCCCTTGGACTTCCCGGGGTTCCTGTTTGTTATGTCCAAGTTAGTTCAGGTCAAAAAACTCTTAATTTTAGGACTTGAAATTTGATTTTGGGAAGTATGTCAAATATCAAAGGCTTAAAACAATTTCAAAGTAGGGCCGGGCGCGGTGGCTCACG